CCGCGAAACTGGGACTTGAGGGACGCGACAGGAAGGGTCATGACGGGGAAACCGGGTACGTGCCTCGATTCCCCTGTGGATCCTGGCAAACCGCAGAACATCCTACCTGCGCCAGCCGTGATGAAATGTGAGGTGTTTCCTCGGGCTGCTTCAAAGCGCCGCCCTTCGCGGGCACCAGCGCTCCGCTGGACGGCGGGAAAGCAGCTCCAGGCGGCCAGAATCGTCGGTTGTGCATAGGAGCGAAGGTTTTTATCCAGGGGCAAATTGCACCGCTGTACTTTGTAGCCGTGGCATCCAGTCAGTCTGGCAAAAAAAAACCCCAACCTTGTACTTTGTTCGTTTGCATTGTTTCTTTCAGCTAGTGCATTATCCATGTGCTGTATGAATCTAGATCACAGCATAAATAACCCAGGTTAATGAGGTGACCGTTTGCAGTCTAACAGTTTGGTCTATTGTGTTCAGTGTTTGCTGTTAAGTAAAAGATATGTATTAGTAGAAATGCGTAAAATGTGCATTTGTTGAAGTGATGCCCTGCAAATAGCTTTTTCTTACAAAATATTTTCAGATTATTTGGAAGCCCTACGTAGAACCACCTGCTTAATCAGCATACTGATCCTGAAAATCAGAGCTGACATACTATTTATTGGCAGTGCAATAAAAGTGCATTGAAGCTGGAGGCTTCAGATCAGTCAGACTGAAAATTGGTTTGCCAGGATAAAAGCTCGCTCACCCCACACATGTTGTTGGGAGTTTCAGTAGCTGTTTAATCTCACCTTTAACTTACTAAGAAGAAACTTTGTTTCAGTATAGGCAGTGTAAAACTTCCATTAATTTAGGAAAAGCCAGATTTGCTTCTCAAAGGCGGTGCAATTAATATTTACACAAGTCAGAGAACTTCTGCAAACCACTTGCATGGGGTAACTGCCATTAATGTGCAGCACCAAGCAAAGGGTCAGTAATGGAAAGGGCAAAAGTCTGTCCTAGAAATGCAGCCATCACAATGTTCAGATAATTGTAACAGAGAATTCAGATCATAAGTAAAGTTAGTTTATATTTACAGTTACTAGCTAGACAACAGAAGAGATTATATGCATGGCTTTTTTTGTAGTTAGTTTTAGCAGGAGATAGCAGGAGAAACAGCTGTTAATAAGTGAAATAATGGCATGATAGATCACTGCAGATTAGCTCCATATTGTTTTTACTCCCATGTTGCACATCAGCTAAATGTCAATGAAGGCCATAAATGCCAGTGAATAACATCAAGGAAGTAAACCAAGCAGAGCAATAATAAAAGCCTACCAAATAAAGTCTGTTTTTAATTAGCAGAAATAAGAGCTACATTTTGTCTGAAAGAAGTAAAACCATTTTATTTGTGAGCTCTATTCGAGTTACATAAACGAGAACATAAATCAGTTTACTTTTCCCAATATGACTGCTTCACTGGCCTCTCTCATTGCCTTGCTTATGTTAGGTCCCTCTCATGGTCAACAATTCTTCCACTTCTCCAAAGATCACAGATATATCTGATGTATTTATCGACCTTAGCATTAGGTGACATTGTAGTTATGTCTTGTAATGGCTATGTGTGGCATACAGAATCTGATGTTTGAATGACTACTTAATCTGCAGTGTCACAGCTACAGAAACCTTCAGAGCACCAGCTGACATCTACTAATGTTTGAGTTGTACTTTCATACATTTTCCCTTGATTATTTTGCTTCCATAAAGAACAGGTTTTTCATTTGTGGAAACTTCAAAAGAAGAGGAATTCATGTTTATTTATAAAGTAGTATGAGGTGCATGATAATCCACAGTATTATCTTCAGAAGAAAGGCCTTGAACAACTTCACTTAATAGGGAGATGTAGTAAATAAGTATATATATGAAACTGTATTTACTTGTTTCTGTTTACTGCTTTTTAACTAGAAATCTTAAGTGAATGATATATACACTAATATTAAATGTAACATTAGTTAAGGCTCAGTACTTCCATGACAGTAAAAACAATTAAACCCAATCCAAAAACAATCAAGAAAGACCCCAATCCTTATCTCACAGTTCAGATGAACAATAGGTAATAATTAGGTATAACTGTGAAAGAGAATCATGTGACATGTTAAGTGGTTTATATATCTGATTAGAATGAAACATTTTGCAGTCTACTCAGAGAATGTTAAAATGTGCAAGACAGTATGTTCATTTATCATGCTGTAATAGCATCTTCATAATGTGGACAGATTTGAACTGTGCTTGCAGTGTGGAAAAATGCAGTTCTTTTATACCTATAACCACACATGCTATACTCAAGACCTTGCCTAGACAACAGCAGAAAGCAAAAGTTCCCAAGAATACCTAATAATCCAAGACAACACTTTCAAACATGACTAGCTGAAGTCTACCACTAAAATAAAACTGACCTTACTTTCAGTATTGCTGTATTTTATGTAGGAGAGAGCTAGGGTTAGAAGTGTTGATCTCATTTAAATCTGGACATTCTGGTCTCTCTGCATTCAAGTTCATGCAGCTGCTAAATGTATGCTTCTCTGTGACCACTGTCCTCTTACAGAAAATACTTGCTTTTCATCCTGATTGCATTACTAACAACAGCATAGCACTAAACCAAAGGATGTGTGTAGTCCTTGCTTGCAAGCAGATATGGAATCCAGAAGAATAATTTGTCTGCGAAAGGACATGACTAATTAGCACAAATAATATATTGGTCTGTCTGGTTTACCTAGAGGATGCTGAATTTGGTCCTCTGTTTTTTTTTTTCTATTTTAGTAGTACAGAAATAAATATCACACTTTGAGTTGCCAAGTCCAATCCTTTAAATGCCCAACAAACAAAACCAGAAAGTGAAATAAGCAATTATCTTAATTTTATAAATAAGCCATAAAGAAGAAGAAAAGTAAGTACTTTCATGTCTTTCATGTCCCTTTTCAGGAACAAATTTATCTTTAGGTACCAATTTTGATCTCAAACATGGCTCGTGTAAAACATTTTTAGATAAAAAAACATACAGGAGCCAGTCATTATCAATACTAGGTGACAGTCTGGCAACTAAATTTTCTAGCTATGTATCCAAATAAATTAAAAAGTTTGTTACCATTTCTGACCCAAGAAAATGAAGTACAATATTGTTCTAGGAAACCTAAGTGACACAAGTGCACTTCACACCTGCAATTTTTGAGAAATATTTCTATTTTTTGAAGTTACTGCAAAAAAACCAAACCAATATAATAATTTCTTCAGTTAAAAGGCCTTTGAAAGTGAAAGTTCTTAAATACCGTGTTAATTAAAATCCACCTCAGATTCAATGAAACTGTGTGAGTGTAACACCTAACAACTTGATAGCGAACAAGGAACTAAAGAACACTTATTCATTTATCCATGGCTGATACTTAACAAGACCATGAACAAAGAAATGTAACACAGTTGCTTCAGTAGCAACAGCTATTAAAAATGCAATGAAGAGTAACTACATCTTAGTGACATTGGACTTTTTGTCTATTTTGATGGAATCTGGAGCAGTAAAACTGACACCAACTCCAAGGCTTGAGCGTCTCAAAGATAATTCAGAGGGAGGAATATGACGTAGCTCTCGGCGAGATACTTTTACTGGAGTTACTCCTTGAAACTGTGTTACGGTCTCTCTTCTCTGGATGACAGAAGGTAGCTGAGGATGAGATTCTGAAGGCTGAGCTTCATCTGTTCCTGTTTTGTCATCACTACTGCTCGACAAACATTCTTTGTTGAACCCAAATTCTGAAACATCTTCTCCAAGCTTGTATGAATTCTGCTGTGCTCTTAAAACACTTGTTCTATCTGTTTCTTTTATTTTCCTTGTTTGACTGTTGGTTTCAGGGTTAAGTGTCAACTTGAACTCTTCAGAAGCAATTTCTGCTCCATCTTGACTGGATGCCTTGTCACCAGAACTGTTATCTAAAATGAAATTTATCAGGAGATAAATAGCTAAAAATTACAACTCTTCCGAGTGCCTGCCATCAAGAAATATTAGTTAATAGAGTTTCACAGCTTGTAGTGTGAACGTGGTAAAAAATTTTCAGCACCTCACTTGTTGTCCTTTCTGTTAAAAAGTTTGTCATCTACAAAAACATCAGAGGTATTAGTTGTTACTTTCCGCTGACAAGGTGCTGGTAATAAAAGCCTCACCATTCTAACTTGTAATGTATCCTGATAGGCAGTCTTAAAACAACCGAACCATGACAGTCAAATATGACATTATTCATATATTGAAAAACAGTCAGCAATTACACTAGCAGAACACACAAAACACATTCTGCAAATTTGACTGTAATGTACACACCGGGCTTTTATTATTTTTAAAGCTCAGCAACAAATTATGATGTGGTTTTATTACTTTGTATTGCAGCATGCCTCAAAATGTATACAAAAGAAAAGTAACTAAATACAGAGTATTTCTTATAAAACTTAATTAACATAAGTATTTGAAAAAGTTGGAAATTCACAGGGATCTTTCCCCTTCTTCTGCTTGCTAAAATTTGGTCAGGATTGGTGTTTCCCCACACGGATAGGTGGCCTGAACTACACACTTCTTTGTATACTAGACACAGAATAGTCTTTCCCACACTCATTTATAATCCAACCTCTAGAATATTCATGTTCACAGTTTGACAAGTGTACTTTATAGTCATGAATGTGCTGGCTCATTCATTAAGGCTCAGCTCTTTGCCCAGCTGGGCAAGGGCTGAGCCTTAACTCACTCTAGGAGCAGCAGGTATGTGATCAGCATCGATGTGTTAGGAAAGCATGGCACTACCCCAGTGGAAAGAAACGGAAGCATCCGTTGGGAGGAAGAACTAGTCATGCTGAGCCTTAAGAAGAAACACAGGACCAAGAAGGCTGTATTGTGCATGTGAGGTACTGGTGGTGTCATCAAGAGGTGTGAGACAACCAAAATAGTGACAGAAATGGAACCTTCTTTTCTCCTCCACCTGAACAGCTCTATTGGAGTTTTAGATTCTGGCACGACATGGAACAATTGAAAACTTGTAGTAGCTGTTGGTTGTTGGTTTGGTTTTTTGGGGGTTTGGGGATTTCTTTTTCTGTCAAAGCACAGAATCACATTAGAAAGCTTTTTTTCCCCCCTACAAGTGTATAAGTTAGTAACTGAAAGTATGGAATTCTTCACTGACAATCTCCCAGTAAGTAACTTTTATGAAATCAAGTGCTGGGAGTAACCTATCTAAAAGCATGGCATATGACAAAGCTGTTAGTTAGAAAGTCATTCAAACCCTTTCAGACTGTAAAATTCCTTTTTCTTAACCACAACAGTTTGAGGTTATTGATGCTGAAATTATGTTAGAATCCAGAGAAAACAGGACCAGAATTTAAAGCACTGGTATTCCACTGCTACAGCTATAAACCAATGTTCTCTCTTTTGAAACTGTGGGAGAAGTGTAATATATTCCTGGAGAACAGTTAGTACAGTAAAAATATGATTTTTAAGTCTCTCTGAACACTTCTGTGTGTTCACCACCCTTCAAATGGTCTATTGACAATTGCATAAATATTTTAAGATAATATACTTACATTTAGTGGATGCCAATAACTGATGGGATGACTCTCCAAAGAGGCCCTTCAATTTCTTCTTCAGCTCTCTGCTGGTTTTCTTATAGAAAAATAAGTCCTTTTCCAGTTGCTGGACTTTTACTTCATACCCTTTCAAGGTTTCAGCAATACCTTCACTATCTTGTTCTAGGACAAGTAAAACTAGTTTAAGAACCAAATATCTGTGCCAAAAATCAAGATGCCCAACTAGACAAGAGTAGTCTTGTATTTTCCTGAGACTTTGCTTGCAATGTGTACATTTTAACTAGTATGACACAGGATCAAGAAGGCCATGCCAGTTGGTCACTTGTCAGTTTTAATAGGAGTATTTAGAAGATCAAGGTCAGCAGGACCAGTATCTTTCAACTTTCCAGTATCAGCAAATTCATATGAAAATACAACAATTCTGGTACTGCTTAAAAAAAATATTCAATTTTCCATTCATACAGACATCATGTGTCTGTTCCTCAGCATCCTACACAATGTCAGGATTAGTGACAGCCAAAATATATCTCTGAACTTCATTCTGTTTTTTTCAGTTGCAATATAGTATTTCTCAGTAGTCACTGAAGATACTACTTGCTTTACAGTCCCCCCCAAGAAGCAAATACCTTTGAAATGATACAGTATTAACTGTAGTTTTTTCTCATGTTCTTTGTGCTGTAGGGTCAGCTGCCTGTCGCACTGCAACTTGACATGCTCAAGTGCAGATTCTAATTCACGAACTATGTTTTCCTGGTCTATGACCTTCATTTCCTGTTCTTCAATCTGCAGTTGTAATTTACGTTCAGACTCACGTAGGCCAACAATCTAAGAAAGAAATAGATTTCTTTTGAGTTATCAAACCATTTTAATAAAAGCTTTTACCCTTCTGCTTAACAGATTAAAGCATACAAAAGCAATGGTCTCTACAAGACATAAGCTTATACTGGAAACAGACTTGTCCGCTCCTGCAAGTTCACACTTTAGAAATGAGCTCTGTACCTTTTGATCACATGGACTAGTGGATTTTTTTAAATACCCCGTGCAGAATTTAAGCTGAAACAACAGTGTTTTCCTGATTCTAGAAAACTTCCAACTTGCATCCCGCAGACCACTTGTTGACAAAGTCACCTAAGGTTCACCCAAGGTCACAAAGACACACCATGTCCCAATGCATTTCATTTTTATATTTTCAGATGTCAGTATGATTCTTCAGTATGTGGCTGTACACAGTGCAGGAAGCTTTATGAAGCCTGCAGCTGTGAAGAATTTCAGTATGACACCCCTATTTAAATATGTTGCTGCTCCAGAAGTTAGCAACACAGAGCACTGCAAAGCAGCAAGGAAATTTACAGATTTGCAGCACCTTTAAAGTTAATGAACCCAAAACAAAGTTAACACACATGTATCCTGTTTAGGTTAATGTAAAAATATAAAATATCTGAATTAATAGCAGATCTATGTAACCTGAAGAGATTTTAATCAAAAGCTTGTTAAATTTATTTTTATTTCTTGACACCATTTCATTTCATTATCTAGTATAATAACAGAAAATAGGATAAAAATCTATTCATTAGCCAAAACAAACCTTGTTGAAATATTTGAAGATGATAGCTCTGAGCTCAGCAGCAGATAGGGAAACTAGTTTTCCTATTACATTATTCTCGCTCTGTGAAAGAATCTGAGATGACCTAAGTAAGTGCTGGCGATTCTGAATACTTTCATTCTTGTAATCAATAGCAGCCTCCAGGGCTTCAATTCCTTCTTCCAGCTGGAAAAGGACGTGTTCTTCCTACAGAGAAACACATGAGTACGATCTTTTAAAAAAAAGTGTGGAATTAATCTTTCTATATATACGACATCTTTAACTTCATTCTCAAGAGTGACACTAAACTTAACGGCAAGACAAACTAGTAGTAGTACGGAGAATGGAATGGGAAAACTAAGAGATAGAATACAAATCTAGAACACTTGTCTTCTTCTGCCATAGTACCCCTACCATGATACAGAGGTCGATCCAATGGTTCATCACAAAACCAGAAGTCATGTCTCCCTTTTTATCCTTCCCTCATCCTCCCCACAGTTTGACTTCTGCTACTATTTTTTTGGTTGTGCTAGTTTTCTGTTGGATTAATGAATGAATCAGGTCAGTAAGGAGTTTGGTGACCATTGTAGGGAAGTCGCAGAAATGCATGGCCTGAAGCACTGCAGAAGATTTTAAGGAGGAAGGCAAGTAGGGTTCTTTCTGGCACATTATCACCTCAGCCACATGCCCATAGTGCTTCTCAAGACATAAAAATAATCTGTATATTTTATATGAATTTATTATATCTTCAACATAATTATACTGATCAACTCAAGTGTGGACCATCCAGGTAGTATGACTTATTTTCACTGTAAAAATATGGAGGCCTTCAGGTGAAGTTTGCTTTTTCACAAAATCCTATGAAAAAAACCAAGGGGCATGACTATGCAAGCATATTGCCTTGTTCTATGTCCTGACATTAAAATATCTGCCTATGATAAACTGATGAACTTCTAGTTCCCTCATTTCTGATTATATGATCCTTAGGCCAGCTGAGTTTGTCAAGGCACTAGCTGAATTAAGACCCTCTGAACATAAACTTTGTTCACTGATAGGTAAGTAGTGCTATCATAGCAGTATTTTAATGTTGCTATTTACAAAAGTACCCAACCTCAGTTCCTTGGTTCTAGCTTATCTAATATTTGGAGACATTCTAGGTTCTGATTGGACTGCTTTATTATGCAAAACCACTTAAAACCTATAGGTATCTCAGAGGTGCTTACTTACTTCAGTTGACAACACTTTACCATCTTTTAGTTTTTCATCCACACTATTTCTTCTTCTGAGCAGCTGATCCCTTTCAGTCTGAAGAACCTGAATTTTTTCCAAAATGTCTGTCTTATCTTCAGTGGTGCTGCCCTGAAGCTGCATACCTTTATCACACAGTTCCTGATCCAGCATACTTAAGCGAGTAGACAATTTCATACTATCTTTGTTTAAAGCCTAAAAAAAACACAGTAAACATAGATACAAAAATGAGATACTCCTTCCAGTAAGAAAAATGTAGGTGAGACTGTCACATTCTGCAGTGAAAGACTTGCCTGCTTCTTGCAATGGTACCCCATTTATTTTGAGTAGACAGCTACCATAAAATTTACTATTTACTCAAAAGATGAAAGAAAACAAAAACGCTCGATGTGCAGTTTTCTACATACTAAAAATTAAAGGGGCTAGTCATTATAAGTGACAATGATACTTCAATTTCTATTCACTTTTGCTACTCAAAAATGATGCAAAATGTTTCCCTGTCATGTTCTCTAGTTTGCAAAACGACTGAGTCATTTTTAAATACCATATAATTTAATGGTCTGCAATAACAGAACTCCACAGTTCAGATTTGTTTGTTTTGTTGCTGGAATTTTGGGGAGAAAAAATGAATAAAAATTATTATCCTGCCTTATTCACATTTTAAATGTTGATTTGTTCAAGCCACGCAATAACTTCATGGCCGTGGTAAAGGCACAGGTCACATGGCCTGAGCCTCTTCTGCTATCTGTCTGCCTTCCCCCTCACCAGTCTTTCAGCAGCACTACAACTGTGGTGAGTTTCATGTTTTTTCTTAAATCACCTGGCTAGATCTCAGTTTCTTGATTTCCAGGTGGCTTTTCTCTTGCAATAATGCTTCTTTTTTGGCTACAATGGCTTCTCTTTTCTTTAAATCTTCTTCTAGTTCTGCTAACTGTTGGTGCTGTTGGAGAATTCTTTCCATTTCTTCATCCAGCCATTTCTTTCGCTCTTCTAATTTCTGAAGTTTAAATAGAGATCCAGAGAGCATTAACTAGGAGTTTTTGGGTCAGAATTTTATGATTATGTTTTTTCTTTTTTAGAATAACTGATAAAACTGTAGAAGAAATTGGCATTTCTAATGTTAACATTAATTCTGCAACAGAATCTTGACTCAGATTAATACAGATATTGGACTAACTTAAAAAGAGGCTCAGCAATGTTACATTGCTACATTTTGTATAAACCAATTTGTTTCAGATGCCTTTAATGAAATATATTATTTTTGTAAGAACAGCTATATAAATAGATGTCTTCTATATAATCACAGCACCTAGGTTTGGAAGGTACCACAAGAATTCAGCTGGCCCATCCTCATTGCATTATAGTTGCCCAAGACCAGCTATTTGTGAAAAAACATCAATTGACAAGAAATTATGATGTTGAAAGAAAGACAGACAGTAAATGAGAGCCCTGATCCTGCTAGCATGGTCCATTATAAATTTATCCTGAAGCCACAGTTTATCTGGATATATTCCTGGTAAGGCTAAAAAGTTGCCTTTATTTAACTTTTAAAATTTCTTTTCACCTTTAAAGGTTTTGGGTAACTCATGAAACTCTCATGTTCCAATGTCCACATTTGAAATAGTGTAGGTGGGACTGCTATGGGACTTTCCTAACCCTGTTAGGAACAATCAAAACCAGAGACCTCTGTCATTTCTGTCAGAGGAGAAAACAAAAAACCAAACAAACCATGGAACATTTATAACAGAGCTCATCAGGATCACCCTCAAATCTACCAGACAACCAAACCTGTTGAATTTAGCACCTCTGAATCAGCATCTTTGACAAATCATAAGAAATTACATCAGAGCCTCTCCTTTCCTTCATTCAAAACGAGTACAAGAGCTGCCACACTACACTCCCAATTTTTGCAACAGCAAAGAAGAAGACAAAACTATGATGGAATACTCTTCTTCCAAACACTTTAAAAGATGAAGAAAGAAAAATTTTTTTCAAGGCCCACACAGATTTGGAATACATTAGGTACCTGTAGCTTCTGTGAAGTTCCCACTGAGTTATTTTTTTTCTTTTTAAATGCAGCAATCTCTTTATCCTTAAGTTTAAGGATCTTCTGTTGTTGCTCCATCTTTAGTTGAAGTTCCTATAAACAAAGAAAAAGCCTCATTCTTCCTGCCTCAGTCAGTCTGGTTTTAAAATGCATTTAATGTTAGAGTCCACACAAATACATAATCTGAAATACTAACCCTAAATTTACATGTAAAATTGCAATTCGAAGCTAGACATCATGTAATAAAATAAAAAAATAAAAAAGCTGAAGAGAAAGGCAAACTGAAGATTTCTGTGAAAATGTTTATAGATAATTTCTTCAGTGCATTTCTCAAGAAAGTCATTACTTAAAACTATGGAAAGCCTGGCAGTATAGTTTATTGTCTTTGAGGAAGCAGAGGCAAAATTCACTCATCTCATTCTTTGTCATAAAGAAAGAGGAAGAATCCTACTTTAATTTGTTGCTGGTCCCGCTGAATCTCTGCTTCTAGTTGCTTCTTTTTTTCACTCTCCTCACACAGTCTCTTCTGTAGCTGGGTCTGCTGATGCTTCATCTGAGCCACATTCTGCTCAAGTTCTGTTGCTTGTCTCTCACTTTGGTTAGATAACGAAGCCAGATTCTTAGTGTCTTGCTGCTTCTTTTGTAAGGCCTGAATGTTCATGGCAAATTTCAGCTTAATAGCAGGAAAACTTAAAACTAAAATATGACTCAACTTCATTCTTTATTTCACTGAATTCTTAGAGTCATCAAGACTTACTATCTTCCACCCAAACAATCAAGCATTATTTCTGTGGTTTCTGAGTTTCTGAATTAATCTCATCCAACATGAAAAGGTAAAGATACAGTTCATGCCTGGTAATACAGTGAAAGTAGTAAAATCTAACAGAAGTCACAGCTCTGAAAAATGTGTAGAGACATAATGGTGCCAGAATGCCGGTCCTGAACTCAAGTCAATAAGCCAATCACTCTTTTTGAATGGCGCTTGTCTGACCCACCATTCTAGAACTGAGAGGCACAGAGCACCTAAGCTGGCCCTACACAGAATTTAAACTTAGGTATAGCAGAAGCTCAGTGCCAAACAAATACAACCATATTGGGCCTGGTCTTGCAAACCATCACAGTGATTTGCTTAGAGCTGGAATTGATACAGTATTTTCAGAAAACATCAATTTTATTTATGGCAGGTAATAAACTTGTAATATAGTCTCCTTGTGTAGGTCTTTTATGGTACTACATACAGTGGATTACGAGCATCTCATATCACCCACTTCTTTCTTGGTTTCTTCTCCACCAAGAACATACTGTATGTATCTAACCACATATAGATTAAACAGCATTCTGAGTGTAATAGTATTAAGTTTCGTGTTAGCTAGTTCAATTCAACAAGCTTCCAATGTGTAAAACTGGTGTGAGTTTCACAAGCAGAGTGTTACGGTTCAAAGGTAATAGGGAGACAGAGATTTTCAAATCTTAATGGTCAGATCAGAAATACCTGCACTTTCAACTTAGCTGCATCCATCTTCTTCCGGAACTCTTTTTGTAACTTGGCTTTCTCAGGAATGTCTCTCAGCTCCTTACTCTCCAGCTCCTGAAGCCGCTTTTGTGTTTCAGCCAGTTCCATTTTTGCCTGCTCAGATTCTTGCTCCAGTTTAGTTATCTTCAAAGAATATTGCCTGCTTACAGACCGAGCATCCTTACCTTAAAGACACCACATCCAAATAGTTTAAAACCAGCAGGATAATCAGTTGAAATGCAATACTTAACTCTGTAGTTGAATCATTACTTACTTCATTCTGGCTAAACCAGTAATTTCTGAGACATTTTCCAACCCTAAAGGAACACACGGTTCCTTTCTAACTCTGAAATATGGATAAAGGAAGGAGTCTTAAATCTGAATTCTTCATGAGTCACCTGATGTCACCAAATAAAGTGCCATCTGAGTGCCCAATAAAGTGAAATCCTTCTGTCTACTGTAGTTTTTGCCAAAATGGCTCTCCTGTATTTAATAAATTTTGCCTTTTCCGGAAGAATATGCCATTTATTTATTACTCAATTTTCAGCTTAATAATCAGTAAACAATTTTGGATTGTGTTTCTACTCTTTGACTTGACTCGTTTGGGCGATCTTTCCCAAAGTACTATTTTTGGGGGCACAGAATCTTTCTCAGTGCCAAAAAGACAACCTCGAGAGAAAGTATGCACACGAGAAGGCTGTGATTGAAGGGGCTAAGCAAAGAGATCCTTACTGTCATCATAAGGGTAGTTTCTGGCAGGCATATATATATATATATATACCAGGACAGATGTTTAAGGGATTTAGGCTGACAGGGACACTGACCTTTTCCCTCATCCACTTCTGACTCCTGCTTCTCTACTGCAGTGCTAGGAATGCTTACATTCCCAGCACAGTGATGCATCTTCTCGCCTATCCCAGACACCATGTGACAAATATATGTCCACGAAGAGATCAGTAGCACTGAGCATACATGAAAAATTACACTATTGGTGGATAAAAGCAATAATCAGCAAAGCACAAAAAATATTTAACAGATACATCAGTGTATCATAGCAGAGTAGGCTGTAATCAAAATTTATAGCCTTCAGTGCAATCATAGCAAGTAATTAATGAAAGTTATGAATCTTTAAGTTATTAAAAGTACTCTTGCATAAGATAATTACATAAAAACTAAGACATGCAGGACTTCAGAAGTTTTGTGCCTTTTCTTTTGTTTCTGAACTTCTTCATTCTAA